GCAATAGTGATAATCAGACCCCACTCCAGATTTCTGAACTTCTGGGATAAAGATGAATAGTATATGATTCAACAGGATCTCTCAGAGATGCTAAAATCTGAGAACCGCTGCTGTATGAAATGCTTCTGCATGTTGAACCCAAGTGAATATTGAACTCTTTGTGTTTATTTCTCCTTCAGTACTTTCTCACCTCGAACTTATATCCTGTACACACTTACTATGCCAAGTTAGTTTTGAAGAGGTATGCCAGAAAATCAGCATTTGTTAACTCTGGAAATGGGAAAATGACAGAATTTAAAAATTATCACAATATCTCTGCTGTTGTCACTACACTAAATATCCTGTGGTTTTATAAAGTAGAACTAATACACAAGGGAGGTGACCTACTGCATCTGCCTAGGTCTGTAGTCCTTCCATAGAGTCCTCACCTCTTGGAAACACAGAAATGGCACCAAAGCTCTTTGCACCAAGATGCATGTGGAGGTGATGACAAGGTAAGGTGGAGGTGACCCATGCCTCCCCTGCCCTGCACAAGGGTGCCAGGAAGTGCCAGAGCATCTTAATACAGTCATCTTCTTTAGAAATGGGATTATTTGAGCTCAAGAGGAAAGTAGTTCCATTATATAGACAGAGCAGAAGACTAGCAGAATGAGAACTGAGGAGTTTTCAAAAGGTCCCCAGAAAACCTGTCACAGTGATGACTGTGTTAGGCAGGGGTCTAGTGTTATTGATGATGATCTCCTGCATGAATTTCCCTCCCAGGTTCTCCAGGATGAAGCTACAGTAAACACCCGCCGGGTTTACAAAGCATTGCCTGGGAGCCTGCATCACCTGGCTTGCATCATTGTGGAGGGAGGCTCGTCATTTCTTCTGGATGTTGGAGGGACACGGATCTGTCACAGGAAAGCCAGAAGGACTGCATGGGCAATGAATTCTGTGTCAAAGACATAGTCTCTTCAGGATCCTCTGGTGTTTCTTTCTGACTACAAAAGATTCTTAAGTGAGGCGGTCACAGAGTGTTTGTAGATTCTGTGTCTCTGGGGACGCAATACCCTAAGATCCTCATTAGACAGAATCTCATTATCTGGGTCCTGGGGCTGTGTAAACCCTTAAAGACCAACAATACAGAAGGGCAGGACCAGGGTGGCTGGTCCCCTTGCCTGGGAATCCAGGTTGTCCTTGCTTCTCTTCTCCACTTCCTTGTCTCATCTACATTCACAGCTTTGCTCACGTGCTGAATGCTGTGCCTTCCTGCTCTATGGCAATAACCTGTCACCAGTTCCGTGTTCAACACAGATGTGTGGGTTAATCTTTCATGTTCCATAATCATATTGTCTAGTTGTAGTTTCAGGATCTGCTTTCTTCCCATTAGGTGATCATTAGTGGAAATTATCATTAATTTTTGATAGTAGTATGAGAAATCAGCATCAAAGGCAAGCATGGAGCTTCAATATTTAGGAAATGTGGACAAAGAGATTGGAGACATGGTCTGGGCTCATGCATATGGCCCTAGAACAGTTGTAAGTTTCAGAATATTCCACCAAAGAGCAACTGAAACAAGCATCCTG